ACACACACACACACAGACACACACAGACAGACACACACAGACACACACAGACAGACAGACAGACACACAGACAGAAGACATCTGTGTTTGTGGAATTACACCGAATAAGTAAAGTACTCAATGTACTTGAACCTGGAGTTCCACATTTCAAGATCACAATGTATTCTGGGGAGAAACACGCTTTTAAATGAAAGAAAACAACGTTCAAGATTATATTATATAAACTTGATCCGCTAAAGGTCAATAGCGACGCGAGTCCCGGGCAGCCCGAGCCTTCCAGCTCAGTGAGAGTATGCGGGAGGGGGGGAGGAGGAGGGAGGAGGAGGGAGGAGGGAGGAGGAGGAGGAGGAGGGAGGAGGGAGGCAGCTCTCGATGCTATTAATGTCAGGAAGCGCGTGTATGGATGGCATTTGACATGTACAGTGGCGCTTCTTATAGACTTTAACTGCATACCGCTGCTTGTGGGGCACATATCCCGTTTCATTGCAATGTTTCCTTCTGCAATTAGAATCTGCGGTTCTGAACAGTACTCAAATACCTTCAGAAACGGTTAAGAGTACCGCCTCTCTCCCCCTTTCCTCCCCTTCACTCCCCTATGATTTTGAAAGCCCTGAGAGCAAAGCTGCTTTTGCAATTGCTAGTCAGACAGGGAGAGAGAGAGAGAGAGAGGAAAAAAATAGTGGTCTCATTTTTTCCGTTTTAAACGCAGATGGATTTAGCAAATGTGCTCTGGCAGTGGCTGCCTGAACTGCAGTGTGTGCTGAATGCTATTGCTGGGTTTCTGGCTCCCGGGTTTGTTTGCCAAGTGCTGGATGGCTGGGAGTGCTGTGTGGGGAGAATGAGCTTGGAGTCAAGTCGGCCAGTGCGGTGGCTCCAGTTTTTGGGGGATCATAGATAAAGAGAGAAAGGGGGGGGAGAAGGAGCTTAGAGCCAGAGAGAACTTGAAAGCAGAGAGCTTAGAAACCAGAGGCAGCCAAGAAGCACACACACGCCCATGGGGACTGGAGATGAAAGAAAGCACAAGAACGCAAATAGAGTTAAACGGCCTCAAATCTGCATCCAGGAGTGTTGTGGATCTGGGTCCTGGGCTGGGAACCACACAGCGACTCAGGGCGTTGGTTTAGGATGATTTCACCTCACTCACTCACTCACTCACTCACTCACTCACTCACTCACTCACTCACTCACTCACTCACTCACTCACTCACTCACTCACTCACTCACTCACTCACTCACTCACTCACTCACTCACTCACTCACTCACTCACTCACTCACTCACTCACTCACTCACTCACTCACTCACTCACTCACTCACTCACTCACTCCACTCACTCACTCACTCACTCACTCACTCACTCACTCACTCACTCACTCACTCCACTCACTCACTCACTCACTCACTCACTCACTCACTCACTCACCACTCACTCACTCACTCACTCACTCACTCACTCACTCACTCACTCACTCCCTCACTCACTCACTCACTCACTCACTCACTCACTCACTCACTCAATCACTCACTCACTCACTCACTCACTCACTCACTCACTCACTCACTCACTCACTCCCTCACTCACTCCACTCACTCACTCACTCACTCACTCACTCACTCACTCACTCACTCCACTCACTCACTCACTCACTCACTCACTCACTCACTCACTCACTCCCTCACTCACTCACTCACTCACTCACTCACTCCCTCACTCACTCACTCACTCACTCACTCACTCACTCACTCACTCACTACCTCACTCACTCACTCACTCACTCACTCACTCACTCACTCACTCACTCACTCACTCACTCACTCACTCACTCACTCCACTCACTCACTCACTCACTCACTCACTCCATTCACTCACTCACTCACTCACTCACTCCCTCATCCACTCACTCACTCACTCACTCACTCACTCACTCACTCACTCACTCACTCACTCACTCACTCACTCCCACTCACTCACTCACTCACTCACTCACTCACTCACTCACTCACTCACTCACTCACTCACTCACTCACTCACTCACTCACTCACTCACTCACTCACTCACTCACTCACTCACTCACTCACTCACTCACTCACTCACTCACTCACTCACTCACTCACTCACTCACTCACTCACTCACTCACTCACTCCCTCACTCCACTCACTCACTCACTCACTCCACTCACTCACTCACTCACTCACTCACTCCACTCACTCACTCACTCACTCACTCACTCACTCACTCACTCACTCACTCACTCACTCACTCACTCACTCACTCACTCACTCACTCACTCACTCACTCACTCAGGGCACCATCTGGTCAGACTGACCATTGTAATGCTACCAAACCTGTATACTTGCACCTCATAAGCTGCTGAATATGATCATCTTTTTTTCCATAATAAATAATCAAATCTCGACACACACACAAACACTAACCGCTCCTCCTCCCAGACAGCTTGGGATCGCTACCACCTTCCAGCGGCTTCATGTGTTTTGTTAAGGAATAGTGTTACCCGAGGGAGGCTGCACGCAGTTCCCAACAATTCACATGTATTCATGTATATTACAAAAAGATTACAGAAGGCAGTTCAGGGGGTATTATCACTGTGGGTGTTTAATGTGGATCGATGGCTTGACTCTGGAACTCTTGTTAAATAAACTTCAGTCTATTTGCTCTCTGAACCTAACTGTGACCGATTCTGCTCACTTTGCGAGCGCTTTTTAATACAAGAAAGCTGTGGATCTGACCTGAGCTCTGTGTGGAAAACGATTGAAATGTCAATGTCATTCCTCTAAAGCTCGGATAACCGTCAGGATAAGTCAGGGCACCAATGCAAGTGAACATTTTCCCGACTCGCTATTGTATCCCAGTTCTCTCTCTCTCTGCCTGAGCCGCAACTAACTACCTTTTTTGATCCATTTTTTTTATTCGTGTAATAATTCTGGCATTCGGCCCAAATTCCGGATGTTTACTGTATTTCGCAGCAGCCAAGGATAGTAGTGTATGTGAAACCTTACCCTTGGGGATGGCAGGGCATGAAATCTCTCCATTAACTTGGCGCAAAACGACTTAACGTCCTCGTGCACCGTCAGGGAGCGCCACAAAAAGAGATACTGTATTGTCGAGACGCTTCAACAACTCAATCTGTGGTGCAACAAATCCATTCTGGTTGATACACACACACATATATATATATACCCCACTGCGCTGAAATGGCTGCATTCAACTTGTAAAAAGAATGCAACACTATTTTGCAGTGCTGACCTTTTGCGTTTGTCAGCTCCGGCAGTCGATTTTAAAGAGGTTTTTTTTGTTCGCCAGTCGTCGTCGTCCCCCCCCTCCCCCCCCCCCCCCCCTCAAAAAAACCTAAATACTTGTATTTGGATTAGACAGATTTTAACACGTTATCAGTTGAATAATAAAACTTGATTTAGTTTGTACAGTAATTTGCACAGTTTCTTCCCCCAACTATGTGGAGGTCCAGGGATGAGCAGAGAGACGGACTCCCTCCGCACATTGGTCAGCGGAGGGATCGCTGACTCGCGTGTCTGGTCCTGAAGATCTCGCTCTGTTCTGTGTTCCTTTGACACACACAACACACGGTCACTTCACGTGCACGTCAGGAAGACATGGTATTTTAACTCTTTCGGTACCGCAACTATAAACGTTTGTCCCCCCCCCCCCCCCCCCCCTCCATAATCAAGGTAAGGTGGGTACGGGATCGATCACTTTTGGTGCAGTTGTACTGTTGCTCTAACATTATATAAACACGCGTTAGCGATCCGCATTGCCGCGCGGTGGGACGCGGTGGGTACAGATGTATAAACCCACTGCACGGAATACAGCTCTTTCCGCACTTCAAATAAGGGTTAATTGGTGCCCGGAGACCGGGACCTGTATCCGCGCCCTCACTCGGGGCTGTTTGCATAGCACCTGTTTCAAAATTTCAGCATTTCCACGTAAAGGCAGGAGTTTGAAGTTTGAAGTGAAGGTTTGACTGTGAACGTGACTCAGAGGTTTTCTCCTTTAACAGCTCAGTTTACTCTGCAGCCACCCGGGTGTTGCCTGCACTGACTTAGTGAGCTGACGAGCTACACTAACCAACTTAACTGACTGTATATTATGCAATGCACTTCGAACGCACGACCCGAGTCACTTTTGTTTTCAAAAAATAAAAAAATAATAATCTAAAACAAAAAAATATAATATGTTTATATATATATATATAATCTAAATCACGACAGCTTCCCCGGAAAGGGCTAAATACCCACAAACGCCTATAAGTCATAACATGCATTTTTTTTCTCGATTTTTTTTTAACACGAACCATAAAGCAGGAGTTACCCTTCACACTGTTTGGGTACGGGGGGGGGGGGGGGGGCAGGTACACAGCCCGATTTTGCTGACCTGTAAGATGGCTCCAGACTAAAACTATCCCGATCCACTATACACACATGAGTTACCCGGCCCGAGCCCACCCCGGCCCGGCCCGGACACCCCGGCCCACCCCGGCCACCCCGGCCCGGCCCACCCCGGACACCCCGGACACCCCGGCCCGGACACCCCGGCCCACCCCGGCCCCCCGGACACCCCGGCCCGGGGACACACCCGGCCCGGCACCCCACCCCCGGACACCCCGGCCCACCCCGGACACCCCGGCCCGGACACCCCGGCCCACCCCGGACACCCCGGCCCCCCGGCCCGGCCCACCCCCCCGGACACCCCCCCCGGCACCCCGGCCCGGACACCCCCGGACACCCCGGCCCGGACACCCCGGCCCGGCCCACCCCGGACACCCCGGCCCGGCCCACCCCGGACACCCCGGCCCACCCCGGCCCGGACACCCCGGCCCCCCCGGCCCGGCTGCTGTGTGTGTGCAGTCAGACAGGTTGGTGCTATTGGAGCTACATCGCAGCCTTTCAGTTCGGGGGCACTGACGGACTGACCGGCAGCAGAAGGGATGCCGTTTGTTTTAAAGAGATGTTAGTTAGTGCTTACTTTCCGGATAGCCATTCGTGTTCATGTCTATCTTGTAAACTTCTTTGGCATAATATTCCTCCTCGCTCCGCTCCCGCTCGCAAGTGGCAGCTCTCTCGTTGGCTTTCTCCAGCAGCAAATCCCTGGTGCTGTTGTAAATAGCGATCACCTCCGAGGAGACCTCTTCTGGCTCCGGGTGATTTTCCGGAGGGTTTGTCAGTTTCAGTTTGCTGAGGATCTGCCCTCGGATGGCCTCGATCCTCTTCTTCATGAACAGCTCCATATCGATAGTGTTGCAGGTCGACAGACAAGAGGCGATCATCGCGAAATCCAGAGTCAGAAACACAGTGAAAATTGAGCAGTGCATTTTCAAAGCTCGGATGGTAATTTTTTTTTGGGGGGGAAGAGTAGGAAAAGTGGGAATAGTATTTATATATATAATATATATAATCTAAAAAAAATCTACCGAATAGATCCTGACTGACTGACCTTCGACAAAAAAAATCAACAGGTTAGTAAGTTAGTTATTCATTATATATATATTAAAAAAAAGTTGAAAACCAATTTTTGTTTTATCCTTTTCCCTGTAAATATATATATAATATAATATATATATATATATATATATATAAACACCCTCGAATCTCACGTCCAAATGAAGTTCAAGGGATTGCGGTCAGTGATCGGGAAGTAAAGAGAGTAAATTAAAAATAAAACGTTTTTTTTTGCTCTCTGATAAGTAAAGTAAAATACTGTTAAAAAAAAAGTTGTGGTCGCAGAGGCGGCTTTACTGCTGTTGCTCTTTCTCTCTCTCGCTGCATATGCAGCTGCAGTTAAGAGACTTTAACGCTGCTTCTGCCAAAGAGAGAGAGAGAGAGGGGGGGAGAGGGGGGGAACACACCTTCACTTCATCGCAGTCCAAACTTTTTTTTTAACACACACACAAAAATCCCTTACTTTCTCCCAGATATATTGTGAAAATACCAGCTGTTAAGCTTAAGTCCACAAGAGTGAGGTCTCCTGATTTTCTCTTCAGATTTCTCCACCGTGACTTTTATGGGGGTTAAACAAAAAAGTGTTTGTTACAAACCCCTCCCCCTAAAAAACAAAACAAATATATATATATATATATGATCTTATTTGGGGGAGGGAGGGAGGGAGGGAGGGTGGGGGAAGGTGGTAAAAAGAGGGTGAAAAAGTTAAGTGCTAACTTTTTAAAAGTTTTTTTTCTCTTCTTTTCTCTAAACCAAAACAAAGCTGGCTGGCAGATTGCAATTTATATATATATATATATATATATAACTATATAAATAAAAAAATCTGAAGCAGAAAGCCTCAAGTCATTGGAGAACCGTTATTTTCTCTCCTCCATCCTAGTCTGTGAGCCCAGGACAGGGGGCAGGGGCCGGGGCAGGGCAGGGCAGGGCAGGGGCAGGCTGGGGGCAGGGCAGGGGCAGGCTGGGGGCAGGGGCAGCCTGGGGGCAGGGGCAGGGCTGGGGGCAGGGCTGGGAGCAGGGGCAGGGCTGGGGGCAGGGGCTGGGGGCAGGGCAGGCTGGGGGCAGGGCAGGGCAGGCTGGGGGCAGGGCAGGGCAGGGCTGGGGGCAGGGCAGGCTGGGGGCAGGGCAGGGCAGGGCTGGGGGCAGGGCAGGCTGGGGGCAGGGCAGGGGCAGGGCTGGGGGCAGGGCAGGGCTGGGGGCAGGGCAGGGGCAGGCTGGGGGCTGGGCAGGGCAGGCTGGGGGCAGGGCAGTGCAGGGCAGGGGGCGGGGCAGGGCAGGGGGCAGGGCTGGGCAGGCTGGGGGTAGGGCAGGGCTGGGGGCAGGGCAGGGGGCAGGGCAGGGGGCGGGGCAGGGCTGAGGGCAGGGCTGGGGGCGGGGCAGGACAGGAGGCAGGGCAGGGGGCGGGGCAGGGGGCGGGGCAGGGGCAGGCTGGGGGCAGGGCAGGGCAGGGGGCTGGGCAGGCTGGGGGTAGGGCAGGGCAGGGCTGGGGGCAGGGCAGGGGGGCGGGGCAGGGCTGGGGGCGGAGCAGGACAGGAGGCAGGGCAGGGGGCGGGGCAGGGGCAGGGCTGGGGGCAGGGCAGGGGGCGGGGCAGGGCAGGCTGGGGGCAGGGCAGTGCAGGGCAGGGGGCAGGGCTGGGCAGGCTGGGGGCAGGGCAGTGCAGGGCTGGGGGCAGGTGGCAGGGCTGGGGGCGGGGCAGGGCTGGGGGCGGGGCAGGGCTGAGGGCAGGGGCGGGGCAGGGCAGGGCTGGGGGCGGGGCAGGGCAGGGCAGGCTGGGGGCAGGACTGGGGGCGGGGCAGGGCAGGGCTGGGCTGGGCAGGGCAGCAGATAACATCAGGCTCTGCACAGGGGAGAGATTTACAATGTCTCACTGTACCACGTGTTGCCGCTCGCAGTGACGTGCGGTCCGATCCGATCTGATCGCTGGAGGATTCCTCGGCGCCAGTGACCAGCCCCGTCTGCCCGGACAGCGCTCCCTCCGCGGGGTCCTAGAGCCCGCCGCCCCCCCTCACACCCTGTGCCGGCCACCAGCACGGGAGACATATAGATATAGATATAGATATATATATATATATATATATAAATCATGCTGTTAAGTCCTGTAGGTCAGTGGTTAGAGCACTCGCCTCGCAAGCAAGAGCGACTTGGGTTCCATTCCCAGTTGGGCAAGTTTCCTTACTCCACACGCCTGTTTATCTCGCAATAAGTAGGAACCCGTTGTTAAGTCAATTGACGGATCACTTTTCCAAGGGTAATAATTCCTTCAAAACAAATAATAAATTAGTCACTTCAATCCACAACTATATCAGCCACAAAATATGCAGTCAATTCACTTTCTGTGAAGCGCTTTGAGACATCTCAAAGACATGATAAGGCACCATATGAAATGCAAAGATTATATATATATAGTATGTATATCCCAGCACTGGAAACACAGATTTATCTCACTATATACAGTGTATGTATACATGTCCCAGCACTGGAAACATATATTTCTCTTTCTCTATACAGTATATATATATCTATATATGTCTCAACACTGGAAACATTTATATCTATATATATGTAAGATGTGAAACAGAGGTCCCCATCTGCCTGTTCAGGTGGATGTTAAAAGATCCCATGACACTAACTCAAAAAAAGGAAGTTTTTCTCTCCCGATGAGGTGTCCTGGCCAACAAATTCCCTGAATTAAAAAGTCGGTCACTCACTCTGTGGCGTTTATGGGAAGTCACTATTTGCAACTGGCTGCCATATTTTGCCTACAAAATACAACTTTTTTTCTCATTGTGCAACAACTGCAGCAGCATCTTGTTTATACATGTAGATTTATGTCTTGGTGAGCAGATGGTGCCCAATACCGAACATGGAGGCAGTGGGGGGTGGGGGAGGCCAGGGATGTTCAGCAGGCCAACTACAGGTTCAAATCCTAAAATGAGACTTAAAGCTGGAACCGTCTGACCTTGAGACGACAGTGCTACCAACCTGGCCAAGCTGACACAAACCAATCTCTTGAAAAAACTGTGTGTTGCATATTATCGCCCATTGATAAAAAAAAACACATCCTCTCAGGTGTGCCACAATGTCAATGCACTAACCAAGGCAGAATATGAGACCATTTAAAAAAATAATACACCCTATACACCCCCACCTTATTGATACGTTAATACCTGTAATAGTTTGCACACCATGTTTGCAATCAGATTAGGAATATCCCTCTGGCCAGATTGTTTGCCTTTTAGATTGGCGTGAAAGTAACACTTAATGTCGAATCATTATTAGCTCTCGTCTTTGTAGAGATTTTAATAATGTGTGTGTTGGGGGGGTGAAGGACAGTGTGCACTTACATTCTGCGTCTTACAGTACAGAATAAAATAACCCACAGGATCAACCCGACTCAATGTCCATTTGCTTTAACAGGGCAAATATCTTTTTAACTCATCCAGTCAATGCATTGAGTTCGTTTCAGGGATAAAGTTGATCAGATATCTAAAAGTGCACATTGTAGCTTTCTGAATCTGTACATTTTCATACTTATTACGAATCACCTCTTAAGACATCCTGTCAACCATTTGATTTAACAATCTATTACCTTAAACCATCTTCTGTTTTGGAAGAACAGAACTGGATTGCAGCCCTTCCATAACATTACACAAACCATCTTTAAATGAAACTAGAGCACCCAGAACAAGCTTTTGTTTTTATTTGTTTTAAACAGTTCCAAAAGTCTAATTATTAGAAATGAAACATAAGCAAAATAGATGGATAGCCTTTTAAATTTGCAAAGCACTGGGCATGAGATCAAAGGATTTCGCTCAGATCCCCAACGAAGATGAACTTTTGGTTGGAGTCGGGTGAGTCATGTTGAGAGCTGGATTCTGTGGACTCTCCTGAACTGTAATTTTGCCCATTGAGGAACTGGCTGCAGGCTTCCACATCAGCTCAATGCAATCAGTAATTGTAACAATAATTTATTGCACATTCTACTTGCAGCTCGAGATTACAATTCTTACAAATAGCTGATGTTCTTATTTTAATGCTTTGGGTTATTGCACAAAGAACCTCTCTATTGGCTTCTTCCACCCCTCACTGGGTCACCATCAAAACTATTGAGTGGTGAACATCCTCTTGCCTTGCTGTGTAGATTTTATATTCAACTTTTTTTAAGAAGAGAATCAAAATAACTCAAAGGGCTCTAGGACCCAGAAGACTCCGCACTTTCTACAGTAGGAGCCACTGGTCAGCAGGATGGTGCGATTGGAATACTTCGGTGATACGCAAGTCTTGATCGTTTGAGAAATAGTCACCTTACGTGACTCACAAAATGAAAACATTCATTGGGATAAATAGTTTAGTTTTCAAACTAACAGACACTTTGCAATATAGCTGGAGGGGCTGAAATAAAAGTGATTGAAATGGCAGGCTACCACTGGAATTCTCCCTTCAAAAAGTAACTTGTTCTGGGAACAAACACAGGTCACACAAAGCAAATTTTGGACTCTCAAGTCAGCGTTTCCCCTCAGCCTGACAACCGACCAAAGTTGGCTTCCTCAGCACCGAGGATTCCCACAAGAACCCAAGACACATTTAAGTTCAATCTCTCTCCATCTCGCATAAAAGTACATTCTGGAGCGCATATAAAGTCTTTTAAAATAAGAAATCGTCATGTCAGTTTTGATATGTTCACCCTTTATTATCAGTCCCCTATAAAAATGTATATGAAGAAATGTATTCATGTATTCAGTGTTTAAGAAAAATCACTGTTTTTTTGGCACCAGAAAAATTATACCTGGATCACCTCTGCCATTGCATGGGGAAGTCAGATATTGCACTGTATTGTAAAATTATACAAACTTTGTTTGGACTGGTGCTTCTGTTGTGTGCCACTCACTCCAGGTGGAATCTCTATTTCTAGAAGCAATAACATTTTTCATGAAATCCCTTGTCTCCTTGCAATGTTATTAAGTTTTTCACAGGACCAAATACAATAGACACATTTACCTTCTGAATCTATTGGACTTATCAAGCACGGGTCTCTCTCCCAACAACAAAAAAGGAACCAGAATGCGTATTTTTTTTCACAAAGTAAAACAAAGTTATATTCCTCACAGCTAAAAGTACACATTCATGGAATGAGCAACAGTTTTGAAATTGTCTAACTACAAAGCTCTGCTGTGCTGAGCCATCATCGGTCAGAGTCACTTTCACTTTCCGCGCCTGCTGCAGCAGCCTTCTGTTCCTCATCGCTCTCCTTATCCCAGTCTTTCATGGTGGCTCCCATCATGAAGTCATCGCGTAATATGTTCCATGCTGGATCATCTTCTGACTTAATTTGAACCTGTAAATAAACCAATTGATACCATTTAGTAATCAAAAGCACAATGAGCACAGCAGATTCACTTTATCATCAGCCCTGGCAGTCTGCACGGCCATCTGATGTCATTTATTAACCCCCAGGTGCTGGCTCATTAGAATATTTTCTGGCACACGACTCTGATGCAAAATATGGATTTAATAAACTCTTTTGAAACGAGATACAAGATTTCTTGTGATCTCTGAACCAAATTCCCTTTATGCGTTACATTACCTCATATGGCACAAAGCTGATTTTTAGGAACTTTGATGGCTATAATATACTTCTTTATTTAGAATGAGTCAAATGTTGTTATCGTGGCACTAATTCATTTTCTTGCGGTTAGTTAGTTACAACGGAAACAATCTTGTACAACATTTCCTATATTTGTGTTTAAAACTGGAGACATCCGGCTCAGTACTTGAAATCAGCCGTGATTTCCCCCTCAACTCCCTTTCATCAAGAGTTACTATTTATACAAGGCTGTGCACCATAGCTATGCAGAATTTTACAACTGGATTCAACAGGAATCCCAATGCACAAGAAAGGTTTAAACATGGAACTGCAGCACCACTTAGTGGTATCTTTCAACGTTGCACAAGTAAACTGCTTCCACAGCTTATTCTGCAAGCTACTTATACAATCGTATGTAATCAAGTGCAGCTTGAAACGTTGTTGAGCTTTTATAATTTACACCCAACTTTTTAAACCCCACATTTAAAAACATCAAATTATTCACTCACATAATGAGTGAAACATTTGCTCATGCTGAATGTGTAAACGAAAATATTTTGAGGCTGTAACAAGATTTCACAAAACATTTGAGCAGCTTTGTAAACAGTTTTGTGTGTGTAGTCAATTGATTTGTGACACAATGAGGAAAACAGTGCACTGGATGCTTTTAGTCAAATGAAAATAAATCGGATGAGAAATATTTCTACTGCAACATAATACAATACAGCCCCAGCTTTCTCAAAGTTTAAATGTGAAGCAACCTGACGTCAAGGATAAGAATCCTATGAAAACTGCTTCAAGCTTGACTCATTTACTGAGCAGGAGCAGCAGCTAAACAATGGTGTAGTATGACAGTGAAGATGCAAAACAAGTTGGCAGTGCTATCTCCAACAGGTAAAAAGCAGGAGGCAGCAAAGCAATTGCTGTCTTTTGTGATCGGAATAGAAACAAGTCGCAGGCTCTTGATTGCAGGGATCTCCTGCTTTGAGAAAGTGGCTTGAATGATACTTACGCTGCTTCTTTTGAAACAACCAAAACACGCCTTTTAACAAAGTTTCATTTGATTTTTTTATGAGATGCTTTGAGTGAGTGGCAGACAAAAAATTATTTACTGCATCCATCTACCACAAAATGAAGAATGTCAAAACAAAGTTAACTATTTATTACAACTAAATCAAAAATGGTCAGGAGAACATTGCTAGGCTTCAACATAAATCAAGGGGGCGGGGGTCTAATGTAGTCTTTACTGCAAGAATCAAATTCGAGTGATTGACATAGCTATTCAAATACAGAGATTGTACTTATGCCCTATGAACATGGAACCAGTAAGATATTACTTACCAGGATCAATCTGCTGGTGTATGTATGTTGCTAGACATTTTATTTTAAATGGTAGGATTAGTTTGCTGAAAATAGTTAAGGTTGTAGTCATGAGCTACATCAGCAAATTCTAAAATGCAGTCTTCAGTTTATAGATGGTTTTCTGTAAGTACTTTTAAGAATTTACCAAAAAATGACGTTGAAGTTAAGATTGAATTCAATGATGTGCCAAATTTTGCTACACAAGAAAGAGTAAATCTAGACCGAGATGGAATTTCTCTCAAAAGTATTTTTTGATAGTTATTCTGGGTTTTTAATCAGGAGTAGGTAGAATATATCAACAAAACTTTACATTCATAAAGCGCCCTTCACACAGGTAGTGTCATGGAGAGCTTAAAAAAATGAGTCAGCATTAATCTCAAAGAGAAATCACAGTGCAGATGGTCAAATAAAACACTTGCTTTGCAAATCTTTCCTTTCGGTAATGCATTTTAATTAGAAAAAGGTTTGGTGAGGCATGATCCGGGTCTTTAAAACAATAAGGTATAGATGATGTAGAGTAGACCATGAGCACAAGTAGCCGACATGGAGTTTAAAATGAACACTTTGACCAATGCAGATATTGGCTGTACCCAATGTGCACTCATTTTTGAGTTGTGCCACTTATGAAGCTAATCTGAACAGCCACTTTGTGAAGTTTTGGTCAATTTACAATTGTGGAATAAAAAAGAAACTCATAATAAAAATAAATCAACACCTCATGGCAGCATTTAAACACCACAGGCTAGCGACTGTATGATGTTTATTTTTTTAGTGGTTGCCAAGATTTCTTTACATCACATTTCTCACGAGAGGTTCAAATGAAGAAGGTCCTTCGGCCCATTTGATCTCATCGTTTCACAATATTCATCCTCTCATTTCTATAGTCGAGCTGTTTTTTTGTAACTGAGTCCTGGCCTTCAATCACCATTCCTGTGATTTGTTCTCAGACAACAATGTCTATGTGTTTAACTGTACAGAAGATTTTATTTCCTTTTTTACACGTCTGCTGCTCATCATCCTGTTTTGAATCTTATTTCTGTTCACACTTTTAATTACAATTGGATGCCTTCCTTTCCACCAGCATCCACAGTGCTAAACCATCACAGATCAAAATGCAAGCTACAGCAGTTGGAGCTGCTCTGATCAGAAGCCAGTAACAAGACTTTTCTTTCCCCTGCTGCTGATGATCAGAAGAGCCGACCACTGCAATTCACATTGAAACCATGTGTGAAGCCTGCAAAATACAGTGAATGGCTCCAAAGGCAAAGCCCACTTTTTTTCTTAAATAGAAAAAGTCATGACCTGGCTCAAAACAAAATCAAATGACCCAATTTTATTCCCCATTAAAACACACTCAGTAATTAATTGCAAAAACAAGATTTTTTAAAACTTTAAAATGGTGCATTTGATTTACGGAATGATTGGTCTCGGCTGACAAATTCCACACCCAGATTCAGATTGGGAGCTGATTAAAATGGACTGAAGGGTCACCTTTCAATATAAATGTTTCATCTCCTAAATCAGCTTTCCCCATTGGTAAGTCAATGTAAGGTTAGACGGCGTTCAGCATTGACAGCTACAATCAAAGCAATCCATAAGTACACCACAATATGATTTGACTGCAAAGTTAGATATTCTTCAAAGTAATTCTTTAAAATATCTCAGGCATACTCAAAGTAAGTTCCAGGTATTCAAGACATCATTTAAAAATAAATTACAATGACATACAAATCTTAGCAATTTATTGCTAGATTTAAAATAAGTAGGGAGTAAAGATCTAGAAGCATAATTTACTACATTGATTCAAAAGACAAGCTGTACTAATACCAAATAAATGGCATTATGTGAGGAGAAAGCTGATAGCTTTCAATGCTGTGTAGATTATCCGCAGGCAAGTAAACATACAGTATCCTAGTATCACCAAGGTGAGAGTTAAACTACACACAGATTTTCAATAAGAAGGAATTAATCAAACTCCAAAGTTTCCTATATTTGAATCAATGCTTGCCTTCGATGTACTGATGATGTTTTTCAGAGGCCACCATGTGCAACACATGAAACTTTCCCTGTGATCTACTGCCAATCATTTCCTTGTAAAACCATAAGAATGGCATCACAAAGAAATGTTGACTCGTTTCCGTGAATCTTATTTGGCAAGGCACTGAGACACTAGGATGTTGCAACAAAATAGTAGGAAACATAAGATCTCTCTATCTTCCAATATTAATTCCAAGATAAATGAGAGAATTATAGAAGTAATTCAATTTCAGGGTGTGGATTACAAACTAAGCATTCAACTTTATTCTTGACATCTGAACTTACAATTTTTTGTGATTTACTTCCACTCATCCAGCATGTTGTATGTAATCCAATTTTTGGTTGATACATTTTATTCAATTTATGACACCATTTAAAACGCTTAATGATGCTTCAGGCTTGTAACTTGCTTTTACCTAACCATGAAGTATATATTTAGAATACTGCAGTCTATAGACAAATTTACTCCACAAACCATCAAACGTTGCAAAGGGCAATCAAGGCACTTGCAAGGAAATGCTAGATGACATGCCAAATATTTCCGTAACATTTTCCTAGGAAAAAGTATTGTGGTGTACCTTTATTGTATAATCTCAAGATGATTTGGGTACACAAGTTGGATTTGGGCACACAAATGTCTTCTCTATAGTGGAGTAATAGAGCGCCTAGCTGAAATCTAGCTTATGCGTGTAGCCAACTCATTTAGAATGGCAATTGAGACGCTATTAGAAAGATTACTTACCTTGTTGTGTGTTTGTTCTGTGAGTTCAGCATCCCAAACTGAAAACTAAAACTTTAGTTAATGCTGCACTCAAGAGAACACCCTGGAGGTAGATAATCTTTCCACTAGTCATGCAGCTCTGAATAGGATGGTTACACCCATAAAACTGGACTGCAAACTTGTGCAAGGAATGCTCATTTTTCAATATTAATATCTTGGTGAAAATAATTATTCTCTATCTCATATCCTCCGTATCCTACTGGAGTGTGATCTAGTGCCTGTCCCTCCAGCAGTGTGTGTAACACGCTGTAATTAAAGAGGCTGAGATTCTTGCTTTCCAGAAGCAGATTTATTCCAAGAAACACATATATACTCTTCATGCAGCTTAAATGTTTTCCTCCATCTTTTTCTTTCAGATTGAAAATTGTGAGTCTGCAAAGCAGCTCTGCTGATATCAATCTTTTAGGATCTGCAAGGAAACCTCTCTGCTAGAAAGTGCAAACATGCAGATACCTGGTGAGAACAGCATAAAGGCTTGGCTGTGGTGATATTATTTGACTTTAAAGTTGGATATCCAACCACTGTCCTACCCAAGATCAGCTAACTCATATTGGATCAATCAGCAGTTAAACTTACCACCTTCTGTCCAGTTTGGGTTAGTTCTATAATGGCAAGGCCGGGACTAACTATGCCATTGGGGAGCCCCAATTTTATTTTTGTGTTTATTTAAGCAGGCTAAGGTTAATATTACAAAAATAATATTATCCCAAAGTTGCAGTAACTTTATTGCTGTAATATTGTTGTTGTATCTTAAAGCATCACAGTGCGTGACCTGAAAAGGCACAGAACCAATCAGTAGAAAGGGGAAATGATTCCACAGACCTATTAGGAGGCCAAGGGTTAAAAAGTATAGCGAATGCCTCCACTTTCATTCTTAGGCACAACATATAGCAGGATACCACAATTTAGGTTGTGATTAACTGTATGGGAGAATTAGCTTGCTCAGGGGACACGAGTGAAGTATAGCGAGAGGGCAGGAAACCACCACTGTGCCATTGACCGCTTGGGGTAAGTGCTGTTCTCTACTGCAAAAAGGCTAATTTACCAGGATTAATCTCTTTTCAACGCCAGATAATGCTTACATTGAAAGAGTGAATGTCCCCATAGGACATAATTTAGGGGTAAAAGAAAAAACGAAATTCTTTTCTACAGGCTTTCTGCAAATTATGATGTGTTTAAAAGAGTGAAAACATTAGGGAGAAAACCAGCTTGGTGGGGTCCCAAAGACTGTATGAAATAATTGTCTGAACTGTTAGCTAAGAGAGTCATTAACCAAGAGCACTTCTACTATCCCATCAATTCAACTGTTTGATAATATTTAGCTCTCTTCACACCAACAAATTCAGCAGCTCTTCCAAGCTAACTCCCAGATGACAACAGAACTTAACATTGAAACAGGCTTTTTTTTTAAAAACATATAAAAACCTCACAAAATATTTTAAAAGTTTAAAAGTGATGGCAGCATTCAGACTACTAGCGCCAAGATGTAAATTAGTCTCTTTCATGCTATAAAATGTACCATCATTACAGAATACTAATGAAGAGGAAAGCAGTTTGTACTCAAGGAAGACCATCCGAGAAACAGAATTTCTGACTGGAAAGTAATTTCACTATTCATGGGGTCACCTGTGGTGCGTTCCCACCTTGCTGCCTGCTACTTGTCAAGCCTGCCTTAGGAACCAGTCAAGGTCCCAGCCTGGGAGCAGATTGTCCACACAGACATAGATCAGTGCTACATGGCCTGGATGGGAGGAGTGGATAATAGAAGTGTTTATACTAAAAAAAACTTGTAAATTAAATACCATAAAATTAAAAGGCCCTACTTTAAGGCCTATTAATATTAATCATCCAATTTGTTAACATATTGAAGGAAATGGATATTAAAGCACTTCTGGGTTCCAGGTACAACCAAACCAACTGAATCTGGAACCTTGGAACCGTTGTCTCAACGACGTGATAAGGCGCTATATCAAAAGCAAGGATTTTTATTAATATTATTATATCAAATGCAAGGTTTATTATTGCAGACTGAAGGGAGTCTCCTCGGTCTTTTGGCCGTTGATACTTTAATGTGAAATTGTATACCTTAATTGTGTTTGGGCAATTCCATCCTAGTTCTTAGAAGGGATGGATTTGCAGCTATTTCACTCAGAGGAGTCATAGGGTGGCCTGTGTGGACGGTGAGATAGGTCACACTAGTTCAATTGAGATAATCTTCTGAAATAGAGACAAAGCAGAGGAAGCTTTGGTCTGTGTCTAAACATGCTATACCAAGACCAAGCAGGGCTTGATGCAGTCATTGAGAAAGTATTCCATTACTCAGCCCAGTATCCATTTCCTGAGGAGAACAACATTCACAGGGAAACAGGATTTGGAAGACTGACCAAGTTGCATCATTGACCAATGACTCAGTAATCAATTCGGCAGTGGGAATATACATATTATCACTTGGTACCTGTTGTTCTGTCCACGATCAACCAGTAACAAAAACAGCACAAGCAAATTTGATTTTAGTGTTTTGTTCAGTAGCTGGCTAACCATGGATTGGTTGAAAGACTATGTCAGAGGCAGCTGGATTTCATTTGGTGTGGAAACACATGGCTGTGTAAGACATTATATTTATTTAACCAGGAGGAAAAAGGAACATTTTAATGAAGGTTTACCATAACTGAACATTATGATTTCAGTAATGACAGAACATTCATTGGTTGGCACCACCCTAACCTTAACCTCATCAGGATGCCAAGTGTAGTATATTACTGCCAATTCAAATGGTTGCATCATTCAATTACATAAAACAGCATTCCCAAAGAGGCAAAAAGACATTCCCAAATGGAAACTTATACCCAGTGAAAGAATTAAGAGTAGGAAATTAAACATTTTTCTTTGGGTTCTTCCGCCCTGCCCCAATACCACAAAATATAGTCCATATTCCATTCATATAGCACATTTCTCATAGGTCGTTATCCAAGAGAGAATTTTACCTCCACTCTGCCCCTTGTAATTTCACCTTGAAGTACTTATGGTATCCTGTGAATAAGAGATGGCAAAGAGGCCATGCTATTTGCATGAGGGAATATTGTGTAAACTTTTGAGTTTAATGGTTTTGAAACTGCACCAACTCAGACCATCAAAGGGAACTCTATGACAAACTTGAGAATTACATCGGCTGTTTCAATTGATGGTGCAATTTAAAAAAACATTCAGGACATTTATAAAGCGTTCACTGCTTGTGTTTATATAAGTAAACTGGTTCAATACATAACCATACGATTGGCCAGTTTCATGTCCCCTCCCCTATCCGACCCACCATTAGTCATTCTGCCTCGCTCTCTGAAACTTCATCCTGGAATCGCTCCAACTTTTCCCCTCTCTCCCCACTTTCAAAGCCCACCTTAAGACTTACCGCTTTGACTGTGCCTTCAGTCATTTTCCCGCTCCCCACTCTCTTCGGCTCCCCCCGGCTTAGGTGCCCAGACAGTATTGTGTAATCAAGCTCACTGAGATGACCTCCCAATGTGAAAGACTCTGTCTTGATGCATTGTGGAGTCCTGTAGCTCAGTGGTTAAGAGCACTCGCCTCGCAAGTGAGAGACCTAGATTAAATTCCCGGCAGGGCGAAATGTTGGGCACGTTTCCTTACTCCACATGCCTCTGTTTATCTAGCAGTAATTAGGAACCTAGTCGTTAGTTGAATGGCAGATTGCTTTAATATTTCCTTAAAAAAAATTGGTTACTTCAATCCACGACTGTTTGTGGGACACTGCTGTGCACAATTGGCTGCGACGTTTTGCTCACAAAATATACAGTCAATTCACTTTACAGTAGATTCTGTGAAGCGCTTTGAGACGTCTCGAAGACTAGATAAGATGCTATATCAAATACTAGGATTATTATATTGCATTGTATTGTGTAATCAATACATAATCAATTCAAGATTGGTTTGGGTACACTTAAACAGCCTACAGTCAAAGACTAGGAATTGTGCATGGGTTTCCCAGGACAATGCCAATCTTGATCAGTTAAATCTACCTCTTAAGCAATCCAGCTGGACTGCTTACCTTTTTGCTGTCCACTGTTGAAAGTGGTGTTCTCTCTCTGCTGATCTAGGGCTGACTGTGCCAAATACAAATGAGCTAAGCAACTCAATTGAAATCGTGTTGCTAAGAAACTTATCAAATCTTTTCAAATATTTCAGTATTAGTACGTATAAGCTAAGCTGCATAAGATGAAATTGTTTAATTCCGTCTCCCAGTCATATTCAAAAAGCTCTTCCCAATCCAATTATTTCTTTTCAGAACTGTTGATCTCAGTGGGTCTCAAAGAATTTACTTGTTAAACCATTTGATAAAAGTTGCAAATGGAACAAACCACAGTTCAAAGGCCTACTTGAGCAGCACCTTGAGACTTTTCAGAGACTGGAGGAGGAAAACAAAGTACAGCTGAAAATGCCAACTTGTAAGACATTTACAGGAAGACAAACACCTTGAAGCAGCTTTTTAAAAAATAATATTCTGGCTTGCCTCCAGAGATAATTATTCCCATCTGGGTACCCAAACCTGTGAAAAGGATACCGTTTCAATACATGTAAGCAAATATTTGACTGTAGCCCACAGCGTTTTCAATCACAGCAGTTCATAAAATAAGCAGACAAACATCAAGCCATTCCAAATATTTCCTTATGCAACAACAAGATTACATTTGCATAGTTACATTACATTTCACGTCGGAAGGACGTCCCAAAGCACTAGTTATGCAATAACTAGAGGAAGAGACAAAGCATGATAACCAGGTATCTCATACCCCTTCCAACGGAGAAAGAAAATCATATTTACAGAAAATTTGTTCCAATTAAAAATAAACAAAGACCATTTCAATCAAATGCACGGCCCCAGCAACTTTCCTTTACCAACAAGGAAATAAGGATAGGAATGCACTTGGCCACCCAGGCTGTCAAGTAGTTTTATTACCGCAAAATGAATAATACTATTTTTCACATGTCATGGTGCATCGCATCTGTTTAACTAGGGTACAGTTCAACATTTCTGGTTAGCACTAATTGATAACGACTTGTAAAAAGACTCACTAACCCACTCCAATTTAAGAATTAAATAATGGCTATTGATGGTGTGTAGTTTTATTTCAGTGCCGTTTTTCAAAATAAAAAGATTCAAAAGCCCTAAATGCTAGAATGAATGAATATGGGTTTCAAATTGGAATTAGAAATAAATCTTCATTGAACATATTAAAACTTTCTGTAAATGCTCGGTTCTTGTCATGAATAGTACTGTACTTTTCCCCAGTACATTCTTGGATAGGAGATCCTTCTTTTCTCATCTACTTTCGCTAACCACAGATGTAGCTGTTCATTTTATCAATTAAACAAAATGCAGGGGTGTTGCCCTACCAGTTTCTGTCCAACTCCACTGGTAGCAAAAATATGACAAATTCAATTAAAAAACACAGAAGCTTCACAAATTTGACTCCAGCAATTACTGCGAGAACAAAATACGTTGGATATGATGCATCGGTTTACCATTGGGCCACAGATTTTCAAGTGTTCTAGCACGTGCTCCAGAAACTTGAATGTCTTCACACAAGGAGTCTTGTGTGACAATGACCCACAATTGACACTTGAAATCACAAAGTTATGAAGCTTAATGTGTGTGTCAGCCACAAACAATCGGAGCCGGGACACAAGAGGAAGGAGCACTTTTTTCTGGCTCCTTTGATATGCTATTTTGAGTTATGCGAGAACTTTTGATACATCCAATAAACTTAATATAGTGGGTTTACTGTTAGAATTTACACTTTTTGTATAATGTTAGAATCATAATAGATGTTGCGAACAGGTTAACTTTTAAGTGAAATGCGTTGTGGGCAGCTGGACTGAAACTCCCTGCATGTACACGAGATAACGGACTGTCTCAAGGACAGTGTGCTTGTGTGTGTGAGGCACGTACACCCCTTGAGGTGTTCACGTGAACCCAGCATGATTTCGACCAGGTGATCTAATGTCCGCACCATGATTGGATGAATATTGGTATAAGAGTTCCGATAACTTTGTGTACGGGGCCGTCCCGGGTCGCGGAGACGAGGATACGGGAGATGGAGCCGTCCCGGGTTGCGGAGACAAGGATACGGGAGATGGAGCCATCCTGGGTTGCGGAGACAAGGGTACGGAGATGGAAGACTGAGAGCTGGAAGACTGAGGATATCAGATGGAAGATTGAAAGCTGTAAGCAAGAAGGCTGAAAGCATGAAGAATCAAACTTGTGTGCTGGAAAGACACAGTGTTGAACTCTTGAACTCGAGATATCTATAGTAGTGTTATTCTGTTGTAAGATCTGTTGATTGTACCGGCCTTTGGTCTGACCCATCGGGATATTGGGGAATAACGAACAAATAATAATAAAACAGTCTGATATCTGGTTAGAGGAATTAGCGTTATTTCCTTACAGATTTGGCTGATTTTATTTTCTAACACATCCAATAAACCTAATATAGTGGGTTTGACACCCATTCATTTTCTCGAACCTTTCCCAAACTGAGGTTCTGACAAGAGTTTCTAAAGAATATTTCCCGAAGTTGTTTCTCTGTAAGACAGTTCTAGGAGAATCACCTAACGCTTGTAACGGAGAATGGAAATTTACAAAAATATTCTAAACAAAATGTTCTACGCACTGCATACTCCAAAATCTGCAGTATATTTTTCAAACAGGTTCATCTTGTAGATCTCTATATTTTGTAATGTTTGGCATGTGGCCTACTCTAAGCAACATTAGATAAGTGAACATTTTGACTTAATGCTAATACCAGCTGGGACATTCTTATTTTCAGAAGTCAAAATATTGCACGCTGTGCAGATGAATAATTCAATTTCTCTCCAATAACCATGATTAGCAAAATGCTAAAGTATGTGCTGGCAGTATAACCAGTAAACTAATCTTAGCAATTTTCAATATATACTTTACTCTGAAGTTAGCTCATCATTTTTCATTATTGATTCCTAATTCTTCACCATTTCAGCACACCAACATTATTACTGATATGGAATCCTGTAGCGTATTGATTAGGGCACTTCCTTCACAATTGACAGGACCTGGATTCGATTCCCGGGCAGGTCAAAACGTTCAGCAAGTTTCATTACTCCACAAGCCTCTGTTCACCTAGCAGTAAGTAGGAACCCAGTTGTTAGTCGATTGGCGTGTCACTTTTCCAAGGGTAATAATCCGTTCAAAAAATAATAATAATTTGGTCACTCAATCCACGACTGTTTGTGGGATACTGCGGTGCACAATTGACTGTCACGTTTCGCCAACAAAATTTATAGCCGCTACACTTTATAGTGTATTCTGTGAAGCCCTTTGCGATATCTCAAAGACGTGATAAGTCGCTATATCAAATGCAAGGAATGTCATTATTATTATATCAAATGCAAGGTTATTATTATGCTTTAGGTTTATGAATATGACTGCTGGAAAGACTCAAAATTCCCCCCTTCCCTCCGAGACGGAAAATCACTGTATTTGTGTCCTCCATTGTTCAATTATACGGAGACTGAAATGAACTGCTTTGGATGGGCCAAATCTCTGGTGTGGTTGAATACAGAGCATCATGCCAAAAACCTCTTTACATATTTTTTATTCATTTCTTAATTTGAATTCTCAAATTTTATGCCAGGAAATCCTGTGAAGCTCTTTGAGATGTTATGCCACCATTCATTATGCGGTATATCAAATGCAAAGATTATTCTAGCATCTTATTATTATATCTTAGTCGTCAATGTAGCTTAAATGTAAATGTAAAAACCTAACTTCAAAGTTAACACATTCAACCACTGAGCGCAGGGATTTTTCTGCATGGTGGGAATAAACTCAAGTCAAAGCAAAATTGTCCTGAGAGTGCTCTAATGGCTGGCTACAGCAATGACTGATGGCAGCGGGAGCAGCTCACCAACCCACTCTCTTGCCTCAAAGTGAAAATGGGGAAATTTTAACAAAAGCTATCCAACTATATTGATTTTCAATCTCCTGTCCTCCATTGTGGGACAAACACGAACATTTCCTTGCTCCAGCTACAGCACTGCAGTCGCCAGAAACAATGAAACCCGAAACCTCAAGAATATACTTAAGTTATTTAAACTGTAAATCTGATTATACAATCTGAAATCAGATAATGCGTTCCTATAACCATAAGCAACTTTGAAGCTCTTTCACTTTGGGCCATACAGAACGTAGTCAATGGTTATGCTATGCAAACTGCAGGCTCCAAGAGCCGTTTTCCAAAAATAATCTTCGCTACACAAATTAGGAACATTAAATTAGGAGTTGCATTACCAGCGCAAAATACATACAATCTCAGACCAAGAACGGTAAGCAAGGAATTATTTTTCAGGCTGAAAGTAAACAGGACAAAATACTGCTGAACAATAAAAGAATTAGATTATTCGACTGCCAACAGCCAAATATTGGGGTACCATTGGATTGGGGGGGGTAGGGGGAAAGCAGAAATATCAAAACTGGGTTGAGGGAAAACGAAGAGAGCGCTATATGAGCCTTATCTTTAGAAGTGCGTGATGATTATGTGCAATTTAGGGTGACAAGTTTTCAAGCAGTCAAATAAGTCTTTCAAATAATAAGACAATTGTTCTCTCTTCAGGACACGATTAAAGTGGTGCAAAATAGATCTGTGGGGCATAGACCATACAAATGGCTGTTTTAACATCCCCAGCATTTGACTGTGGTAATTGATTTAAGTGTTTCTTAAATATGTAATCTGCTGGTACCCAAAATGCATGCAGATGCTAATAAATGAGGTAGATGCATGCCAAGCTGGTATTTCACTCATAATAAGATCTGTTAAGCTGCAGTAAGTAATTCGTGTGGCAGCCTGATATAGACTATGAAAAAATAAACAGTTTGTTTTAAAATCTGTTGCTTTCCAAGTTGGAAAGCTAAGCTCCTTCAAGCACAACATGGCCAAGGCTTGAATTCAACCTTTGTCATACATAGTTTTACTGCTGCATTCATCTGTCAACAACAAATTCCCTTTTCCACCAGTAAACAAGCAGAATTAAAGGCTAAGAATGAGCATGACAAAAACGACCCTATAGTGAAAAACAGACATCAAGATTGAGTATGTTGCTTGTAAAACTGGGAAAACAAAATCTGTAAGTATTTTACTGGTCCAGGTAACATTACATTTAAAGCGCATTTATTGTTTTTTATTAGCAAACAGAATGTCCACAAACCGTACTGAACTAGAATATTTTGTGGGGTTTATTTTAAACATTTTTCCAGCCCCCTACCCCCCACCACACACAAGGCAAAAAGTCAGATACAAACCAATGCTCTACTTCTCCATGGTATAGCTACGCCAATTTCTCTCGAGTCTAATTTAACAATTAACCAAACATACTTTCTTCCCTCAGCCTCTCCTGAAGCAGTTGAGGCCCTTCCTGGGCTACAATTTCTCGGGCAAAGGGAGCCCTCTCATATCTCATTCAAGTGCCCTTCTTCATGTGTGAGGTCAAACAGGCTATTCTATGTCTATGACAATTCTGTTCTCATCCAATATTTACACACAGTTCTACAGAGATTTCCCAGGAGATTATGTCTAGACTTTCCCGCTCCCAAGCCAAAAGGTGGCGAAGCCTATTTGAGATTAGCTGATTCAGCAAAGAATCAAACCTGATGAAATGGTTGTGCCGTTATGCCGGTTGTGCCTTTACCAACTAAGGCATTGGGGAACTCTCTTAAAATTTGTAGCAATGGTTTAATTCAGTTGTGGTTATTTCTTGGTGAGACCGCACCTAGAATATTGTGTGCAATTTTGGTCTCCTTATTTAAGAAAGGGCATACTCGCCTTAGAGGGGGTGCAGTGTAGATTCACTAGGTTAGTACCTGGGATGAGGGGCTTGATCTATGAGGATAGGATAGGTTTCCCCCCGGTAGGAGAATCTATAACTAGGGGTCACAGTCTTAAGATTAAAGGTCAGCCCTATTGAACAGAGTTGAGGAAACACTTCTTCACTCAGAGAGTAGTGAATTTATGAATCTACCCCGGAAGGCTGTAGATGCTCAGTCCTTGAACATATTCATGACTGAGAATGATAGATTTCTAAAGAATAGAGGGATTAAGGGATATGGGGATAAGGCGGGCAGATGGACTTAGGTTAGAAGATCAGCCATGATCTTATTGAATAGCAGGTCAGGCTTGAGGGGCTGAATGGCCTGCTCCTGCTCCTAATTCCTATGTTCCAACAAAATAAATGTTCTTGATTGAATATTTCTTGAATGATGGTATAAATGTTCAATCAAGAAAAAAATGAAAACACACTGTCGATCGCACATGTACTTACCTAGACTCGTGTGGATGTTCAGGGGTGGGTGGGGGGAGCGCTTTTTGATGGCTCCCTTGGCCGCTTCCAGCTTGCGGCCCACAGGTTAGTCACCACTGGTTTAATTGACACACTGCTAAATTGTGCATCCCTTGGTTTACACAACTCATAGACCATTTTACAAGATGTAATGGAATACCAGGTAAAACAATGAGATTTTAAACTTTCAAGCATGCATTCTCAACTTTGCAGCCAAAATTACAGTGAAACAATAAGCTACATGATGAGTTTGAAACAACAAGTCTTAGACAACATTTAAACAATGAAAAACTGTGCACATTACTTATACAATTAAAGCTTGAGGCACAGGAAGATGGAAGTGTTCATTATGAACATAAGTAGACACAAGAAATTAACCTCTTAAAATGCTGTTTATTCTATCCACACAAATAATAGAATCAACAGGGTTCAATTATTTTACCGGAGATCTCACGTACCTGTTTACTACTGATGGCTGCCTTTACTACCGAAGTCCCTTTCACTTTCTGATCTTCTGATCCACGGAGGACATTGATAAAATCTTTCTTTGACACTGTTGACATCAGCTTAGCACGCTTCAAATCAGATCTACCTGCTTCTTTAACTTTTTCATCCACATTGCCCTGATGCTTTCGCACTGCATTGAACAGCTGCACGACACCCCTGTACATTAAAGTGTACAAAAAGAGGAAAAAAAGTTACCTTTTATCTTGACAGCATGCTTACTTTTTTCACTTACAGGAGGAGATGAAAGCATTTTCTTTTCAGTTCTCTTCAAACAAGCAAAGACATTACCATAGTTATCAATGTTTTTTTTGCTACACAAAATTTAATAAACATCCACTACACACCAATACACTCCATCAATTTCTCGTGCTATCTTGGAAAGTAGCTTAAAATAAAGTAAAGTTAATGTAGAAAGTAACAAAACAATCACAAACAAATTGACATGAAAAGAAAACCTTGAGAGACTAATCACTTACTCTCCAGGCTCACACATGAAGGACAGCTATTTGAAAGATTGCTAGTGGAACTGAATCCCTAAAGACTTTGGCAACAACAACTTGCAGTCATACAGTGCCTTAGAAGTAGGATTAGTGTCTAAAACTAGTTGTTCAAGACGTTGGGGAATCACCAGCCAGAGGCGAAAGAAGGGGAGTTTCAGTTTATTGACCAAACACACTGAAAAGGGGATTTTGAAGGCAGAGAGAGAATGTGCAAGATTAATGGATTTTTGGAGTGAGATCCAGAGAGCAGGGGTATAGTGACCTTCCATGGGAATAATTGGAGGCACACAATAGATAACACAACAAATTGCTTTGTTCCCAAGGTGGTGGACAGTCAAGGGTTTGCACCCAAGCTGGAGTTGGATTTTGGAGGGATGAGGGTCAAGGGAGATGCAAGGCTCAAGGGAGATGCAGGTGGGGAGATGACTGAAGATGACTGAAGGTGGAGTCAAAGATGGATGTTGAAGGAGGCGAGGGAAGAGGCAAGTCAAATGGACTCCAGGATTGAGGTCTAGAGAATAGCGGCGGACAGGGCAGGGGACGAGAAGCGTGGTGAGCGGAGGGAGGATTTTGGAATAAATAATAATAAATTTTATGGGCATTTTGGTATACAGTCAATTCACTTTACAGTATATTCCATGATGTGCTTTGAGATGACTTGAAGACTCGCTAAGGAGCTATATCAAGTGCAAGGATTACTATAAATAGTAACCCTTGAATGTCGAGAGGACATCTCAAACCGCTTCACAGGATATCCTCTCAAGTGTAGTGACTGTATATTTTGATAATAGGGCATAGTGGCTAACAGCTCAGCTACCATAATGGTAGCTCCATTACACACCATCAGACAACAACTTTGAAAAGAAATCAAATCCTCCCAGCATCAATCGTTTCTTTTTTTAAAAAAATTAGAACAACCTATGTACGTAAAGTAGATCTGAAACTGCATTTTTTATTTTAACTTCTGGCATGACATGACCAATGCTACTAATTCTGGGCAGTCAACAGCCAAACTAGGCTCAACCATTATCAAAGAGTATTGGAAATCTTTCAAATTTTAACTTGGGAAGAAGTAGAAAGACAAAGCAGCAAAGCCACACTCTACAGCTCTTGTGCGACTGCTCACAGCTCAATCATCCTTAACAAGGGTAATGTCCCTGCCTCAAATGAGAATCGTGTCAGTCCAAGGCAATCCTATAAGGTGTACAGGCAGTTTTCCCATCCTGTACTGTAAAACAAATTGAAGCAGAACTGAATTTGCATTTCTGAAATTTTGCACCCTCCACCTACTAAATAAATATTTGTAGTTATTTGAATATTGGTACGGTATATACATTGTAAAAGTAGGAGACACATGGAATGTAAAGATGGAGCCAAAAGTACCAAGGGAAAAATGAGAGATGTATGAGGGACTTTATTAAACTACTCGCTCATCATGTCCAAACAGTGTGAGGCAGCAGTAAACAATGCAAACAGGATGGTGGGCTATCTTGCCAAATCAGTTGAATTCAGAACGCTGGCAGCCTCAAGCCTCGTTTTTCTGGTGTAGTAAGATAAGTTACCTGCAACAATAAGTTTTTATATTTACAGTAGCGTGGAGAGAGATATATAGGAATGTAGGAAAACAGGGACAGGAGGTTGTTCTACTCATCAAACCTTTTCAATTGGTTTATTGGCAGATCTTTTTCTCTCAATGTCAACTCTTTTCACCATAACCTTTTATACCACTACTATCCAATAGATATATAAATATAAATAGTGAGAGAAACAAAAATGTGAGGACAGTAGGGTTCGTATTCCAGAAGCACAAGATCAAATGAGACGAAGAGCCTTCTGTATCTGAATGTCTCTTGTGAACTCCTACCTGGTTGCTAATCTCTGGAGCATCTTCTCATTTTCTCTGTCTTTAATGACATCAGGTTTCACTCGGCACAGCTGCTCCCACTCTCTCCTTTCATCTAACTGCCAAAAACAAAGTTCATATAAGATTAACATGTTAATCAGACTATACCAAATAATTGTTAACATCACAGGGATCAAATTGTGTCATTTAGATACAACATTGTCGTATTAAGTACACCAAAGAAAGATTTATTGTGAGACAACTGTATCAGCAAATATGAACCGTCAGAAAAATTGTGTTTCCAAGATAATGGAACACATTCCTATTTCGGGCACCCAGTGTCATTATCAAGCACTCAGAGATTGATCAGAGCACGGGTTAATTGCAAGGTTAAACATAGAGAAAAGTTCCCTCTATTCTACCCAATTAATAAACCTTAATCCCAACTTCAGAAGAGCAACCTGGGGTGCAGCACTGTAACTTTCCATTCGTTTACCAGGCAGCTTTCAGATTGCCAATTAATGCCACATATGGAACAGTAACATATGTTCTGTGTTGGGAACTGAGCTGAGGCTGCCCAAACTCTCAAACTACACCAACCTACTTCTATTCAAATAAAATCTGTGCAAATATACATTGTGACTGAATCCACCATCTGTTAAATTGTACTACTGCACATGCTTTCTGTCCATTTATGCAGGAAACTGCATAAACAAACTCCAATCAGCAAATTCCACGCATAAAAAAATATTCACTGTATCCCTTACTCAACAGTTAATTATTTCCCAAGGAAACTAATCATTATCATGCCTCAACAGAAAGATATGGAGTTATACCAACACATCAAAGTCATTACAAAAATGATTTGGGCTTCACGTGAACAGGAAGTGTCAATTGTTTTTAAGGTACTTGGATGTTTCCTGAGCTATCACCCTATTTTCCAATGATCCTTTTAATAATACCTAGTCATTCTGTGTCAGGCTGGCTCAGTTTGTAGCACACTCATCTCTGAACTTTCTTAATTTCATAGCTGTTTGTGGGATATTGCTTTGTGCAAATTGGCTGCTGGGTTCACCTACAAAATACACAGTAATTACATCTTACAGTGAATCTTATGAGTTGCTTTGAGACGCCCTCTGCATGTAAAAGCCAGTTTAATTCTTTCTAAATGTAATACTGAACATTACCTGCTTTTTCTTTTCCAATCGTTCCTGTTTTAGTTTTTCTTTCTCCTTTTCTTTTTCTTTATTTTTAGCGAGTATTGTGGGTCTGTTCAAAGGTGTCTTCTTATTCAGAATTTTAGCCATCGCATCTGCCCACCCAGCAGTGGGATTTTCTGGATTCTTGTCAGCATTCTCCTCTGCAACATCACTTTCCCCATCTTCACCTGGAGAAACGCTACTACCTGGAAGATCACCATCAGAGTCTAAAATGGGAAAGACAGATACATTCTTAAGAATAGAGAATGCAGGAACTCTCACTCCTAAGTCATGATGCAATACTGACATCTAGTGTTTACCAGGCATTCAACAGACTCGCAGCTGGAACCTCCTACAAAGGTATAGGTGACCCAAGTAACAAATCCTGGACGTATATACTGTATATGAGAAAAAANGGGCAAAGATATACTCTTATCTCACATTCCACTTATCAACTATCCTTGTGTGATGATAGAAAACATCACAGAAATGTTGGACTGCTAACAAGGTCACTCAATCCACGATTGTTCGTGGGACACTGCTGTGCGCAACTGGCTGCCGCGTTTCGCCCACAAAATATATAGTCAACTCACTTTAGTGTATCCAGTGAAGAGTTTTGAGACATCTCAAAGACGTGATAAGGCACTATCAAATGCAAGGATTACTATTATTATAACATAGTATAAAACATGCTAGTGGACTATCACTTTGAATTCCTGCTGTCACTATATATAGTGGAGCCAACTATTCAGTATAATTGGGACAGGTCACATTGTGGATAAGCAAACAAGTGCAGATAATTGGATATCATGTAAAATTAATACAAATTGGTTACAATGCTAACTAAATATTCTTCCATCAGGACTTGTACTGTTACTATAAGTACCACACTGTGCCAGCCCTCCCGCTCTCTCTCAGACAATTCGTTTTTCTAACTTTCTCTCTCTGACTTCCTTTCCCCATCTCTAATGTTACCTCTTTCTCTGACTTTGCTCCCCATCTCTTGAAGTACACTGTAGATTGCTAAACAAACACTTATTTTCACGTTGCTAACTCACGATTGCAATGTGTGGATAAACCATGTTCTCTGTGACAACATTCTCCCTCCGCCTCCCCCACCCCCCACCCCAGGTTCTCACAACTTTAGAGTTCACTCATGCCTCAGAGAACGAAGCAGTTAAGTGTACAGTCAGCAAGCACATACGTGACTTCTACTATTCATTTTTACCTCTAATCGTGTTTATTTTGTAAAGCTCTTTGAGATACTTTTTTTCACTTGAAAAACAAGTGGCTGAAACAAGTGAAGTTATTTACAAACAAATTATGATTAATAAAACAAACGTATTTGTATAACATTATTAACAACATCAAGTGGCACTGTATAGTTATCAATAACGTGGAGTTGCACACAAAGTTAGTATCATTCATAAAATGAAGGTGTCATCTTGGCTCAGTCAGGAGCAATCTTGCCTCGAAGTCCAATGATAGGACTTCAACTCAGACTGAGCAGACACTCCAGTGCAATGAACAACCATGTAGGAAGTGCCATCCGTTGAATGAGGTGTTGAAATCAAGGTCCTATCCATTTGTTCTGGTGAACATTAAAGATCCCCAGGCATCATTGAACAGAGAAGGGATGTGCTCTGGGTATCCTGGCCAGCAATCCCCCAGACAGAATTGGTTATTCATTTCATAACTATTTGTGGGAAATTGGTAGGTGCAGATTGGCTGTCGCAATCACCCACAAATACACAATCACTAAGCTTTCCAGTAAAATCCTCTGAAGCATTAACATGTTTTGATAATATACTGTATCAAATGCAGGGATTTTTAAATAAATATACCAAAGTTATTACTATCAATAAAATGAGCCATTAGATGTATTCAGATACTGATGAAATAAGTGACATTGTATATAGTTATAATAATAATCCTTGCATTTGATATAGCACCTTATCACATCTTCGAGCCGTCTCAAAACGCTTCACAGAATATACTGTAAAGTGAATTGACTTTTTATTTTGTGTGCGAAACCCAGCAGCCAATTGCCCACAGCAGTTGCCACAAACAGTTACCAAATTATTATTTTTATATATTTTTTGAAGGGATTATTAAATCCGGGAAAGCGATCCACCAATCCACTAATAACCGGGTTCCTTCCTGCTAGGTAAACAGAGGCCTTTAGGGTAAGGAAACCTGCCTAAAATTTCGCCCTACCTGCGAATCGAACCCGGGTTCTCTTGCTTGTGAGGCGAGTGCTCTAACCAATACGCTATAGGACTCCACAAAAAGTGCAGCTATTATATTAATATTTATAGTTAATATTAAAAATAGTGTATAGTACTATTATATACATTACATAATAAAGTAGAACTACACTAATATATATTAAAAAAATAATAAATTGGTCATTTCAATCCACGACTGTTTGTGGGACATTGCTGTGCGCAATTAACTGCCACCTTTTGCCCACAAATATACAGTCAATTCACTTTACAGTATATTCTGTGAAGCGCTTTGAGACGTCTCGAAGACGTGAAAACCGCTATATCAAAAATGCAAGCGCTATACTATAAAATAATCCTTGCATTTGATATAGAACCTTTCGAGTCAGGATTTCGTCTCAAAGCGCTTCACAGGATTTACTGTAAAGTGGATTGGGCAGTATCGCACACAGCAAAGTCCCACAAACATCCATGGAGTGAGGGACCAGGTTTATTTGTTGACCAGGACACGGGGAGAAAGAAATTCCCTTCTCTTTTCGAACAGCGCCATGTGGATCTCTAATGTCCACCTGAACAGGCAGACGGGTCCACCGTTTAACATCTCATCTGAAGGCCAACCCCCAGCGCTGCACTGGAAAGTCAGTCAGATTAGACCATGTGATTATAATAAAACTTGCCTTTATTATTATTATTATTACTATGTGATTCCAAGTCCTGACGTGGGGTTTGAACCCACAAACTTCTGACTGGGAGGCGAGAGGCTGACACTTGACTGTTTCTGATTGTAAATCATTATAATTAATCAGCTCGAGAGCGGCCGCCATGAGATCTTATCACGTGGTCCGCTCGGGGACCCCGACTCCTCGCACTGACCGCCCCCGGGGGCCCTGACTCTGACCCGCCTGTCACGCTCCCCCCCCCCCACACCCCCACCCCCCGCCCCCAGCCCCTCGGTCCATCTTTCAGTCCATTTACCGCTCACCGCCGCCTCGGCCTCGGAGTCTCCACGTGAAGCCACCAGCGCCGCCATGTCCCCGGAAACACAGCGCTCACCAAACTCGCTCCGGCTGGAAAGCTGCGGCTCTGCACAAAGGTTCCGCCTGGACTGTCCCAGCGCTCCTCCCTCCCTCCCTCCCTCCCTCACACAGCCACAGCCCCCCAAGGGGAGCTGTCTGTCACTTTGCAACCAACTTTCCATCTCAGACAGATTACTTACTCATAGATCATTTAAAACGGTGCATTGTTTTATTTGCACTGTGAAGCTTTATGTCATTGTAAAATAGTTATTTTTTAAAATATTAATGCAAAGCAAACCAGTTTTTAAACCTTGCTGAAATTCAACTGTAGGTTTTAGAGAGCAGATTGGATCAACATATCTGTAATTTAATAGTAATAATAATCTTTGCGTTTGATGTAGTGCCTTATCACGTCTTTGAGACGTCTCAGAGCGCTTCACAGAACAGACTGTAAAGTGAATTGACTGTACATTTTGTGGGCGAAACACGGCAGCCAATTACAGGCAGCAGTGTCCCACAAACAGTCATGGATTGAAGTGACCAATTTATTATTGTTTTTTGAAGGAATTATTATCCTCGGAAAAGTGATCCACCAATCGACTAATAACCGGGTTTCTACTTACTGCTAGGTAAACAAACGTGTGGAGTAAGGAAACTTGTCCAATATTTCTTCCTGTTGGGTATCAAACCCAGGTCTCTCGCTTGTGAGGCGAGTGCTCTAACCGCTGAGCTACAGGACTCCACATTACACAAATTACATAAATCTGTAACTTGCACATTTAAGCAACTAGACTTTTTCTGTGCTTCGTGTTGTCTTCACATCAACATTTTCTTAACTTTAGTACTTTTTTGTGGGAAATGGCCCCTTTTTTAATAATTAATATTTATTTCACTGCAATATTTCCAAATATAAATTGCTTTCCATTTATAAATAATATACAGTAATAATAATACTTACATTTCATATAGTATCTTTCCAGTTAGGAGGACTTCACCAAGCACTACATAACAGTTTGAACTGTCCTCCAGACATGAAAAATGTCAAATCATAGATTCATAGAATCATAGAATCGTACAGCACAAAAAGAGGCCATTCGGCCCATCGAGTCGGTGCCGGCTCTTTGAAAAGAGCAATGTAAGGTCAATCCCACTCCCCAGCCCTTTCCCCATAACCCTGCAAACCCGTCCTCCTCAAATACCCATCCACCGTGTTTTTAAAAGTTGTTATCGAATCGGCCTCCACCACCCTTTCAGGTAATGCGTTCCAGATTCGAACAACTCGCTGCATGAAAACATTTCTTCTCACCTCCCCTCTGCTTCTTTTAGATACTATTTTGAATCTGTGACCTCAAGTTACCGACACACCCACCAGTGGAAACAGTTTTTCCCTTTCTAACCTATCAAATCCCCTCATGATTTTGAAGACCTCTATTAGGTCTCTGCTCCAATGACAATAATCGTAGCCTCTCCAGCCTTTCCACAAATCAAGGTCCCTCATTCCTGGTACCATCCTCGTAAATCTCCTTTGCACCCTTTCCAATGCCTTAACATCCTTCCTATAGTGTGGTGCCCAGAACTGGGCGCAGTATTCTAACTGAGGCCTAACCAGTGTTTTATATAGGTTAATCATAACATCCTGACTCTTGTACTCTATGCCCTTATTTATAAAGCCTAGTATCCCATATGACCATTTTACAGCTGTATCTACCTGTCCTGCCACCTTCAAGGATTGATTTACCTGAACCCCCAGGTCTCTCTGTTCTTTTACCCCCCTTATGGTTGTATTGCCAGCCTATATTGCCTCCCCTCATTCTTTCTACCAAAATGTATTACCTCGCATTTCTCCACATTGAAATTCATCTGCCATGTGTCTGCCCATTTTACCATTCTGTCTATGTCTTCCTGCAGTTGGCTACTATCCTTCTCACTGTTTACCACCCTACCTAACTTTGTGTCGTCCGCAAACTTGGAAATAGTACTTGCTATACCCAAGTCAGATCATTTATGTATATTAAGAAGAGCAGTGGTCCTAATACCGATTCCTGGGGAACGCTACTGTACTCCCTCCAGTCAGAAAAGCAGCCGTTCACAACTCTCTGCTTTCTGTCTCCCAGCCAGTTCTGGATTTGTGCTGCCACTGTCCCTTTTATACCATGGGCTTCTATCTTTCTTACAAGTCTTTCATATGGCACTTTGTCAAATGCCTTTTGAAAGTCCATATAAACTACATCAACTGCACTACCTTTATCCACCCTCTCCATTACCTCATCGAAAAATTCTATTAGATTTGTTAGACAAGATTTGCCTTTAACAAATCCATGTTGGCTGTCCCTAATTAACCCATATTCTTCTAAGTGAAGATTTATTCTGTCCCAGATTATAGTCTCCAGGAGTTTCCCCACTACTGATGTTAGGCTGAGTGGCCTGTAGTTCCCAGGTTTGTCCTTCTGTCCCTTTTTGTACAGGGGAGTCACATTGGCCACTCTCCAGTCCTCTGGCACCACCCCTGTGTCCAATGAAGATTGAAAAATTGTAGCCAAAGCCTCCGCTATTTGTACCCGAGCCTCCCATAGTACCCTTGGCTGCATCCCGTCCGGACCGAGCAACTTACCTTTAGCCCAGTCAACCTTTTCAGCACTTCCTCTCTGTTTATTCTTATCCTGTCCATTTCCTCTACCCTCTCCTCCGATACTGCGGCATTTGGTTCATCCACTTCTTTTGTGAAGACAGATGCAAAGTAGTCATTCAGTACATCAGCCATGCCCTCTGGCTCCACAATAAAAATTCCTCCTTGGTCCATAATTGGCCCCACAGGACTAACCTTTTTTTCTTGATATGTTTGCAAAATATTTTAGAATTCCCTTTAATGTTACCCGCTAACCTTTTTTCGTATAATCTTTTTGCCCCTCTTATTTCCCTTTACAGTTCTCTTCTGCACTTCCTATTTTCTATTTGGCTGTCTTCTGTATCTTGGGTTTGACATTTGTCATACGCCTCCTTTTTTTGCTTCATTCTAGATACAATTACTTTCGTCATCCAAGGAGCGACGGTTATTATTTTTTAAAATTAAATTCAATAAATTTCACACTTTCAGTGCTTTTTTTTTTGCTAGCCGGGTGTCTGACACATGCAAAATCATCACCATGCTTAAGAGTATCCTAATCAAGCTGAGATTTCCATGCATCCCACCTACACATGGAAATCGCAGAGATAGATTGATGGAATCGAATACGCACTCTCTCTCTGGAGGGACACATCCTGCTTACCCAATTCCAGAAAGTATTAGGCAAAGTCTGGCTAGAGCAAAGGCTTGGTGACCCCAGAATGTGCGTTGGGGTACTGTTGGAATCCAAACAGCTAAAATCATGTAACTTGCCATTGATATCGCTGTTTGGCAAGCTTTCCCACTGCTTGTTCAGATAGGATCACCCTACCCATTAGGGCTTTGGCTTGTGAGATTAACAGAAGTTAAGTGGGTTGACTCCATGTACCAGTGACTGGTCTGCCTTTCCAGGTCCTGCGGATGAGCCAAGCTGGCTGTGCTGTCATCAGCAGTGCCCTGGAATACAGCAGACCCACCTGGCTCAGGAAAAGGGTTACTGAGACCGCCACGGAGGGCTGGCTTAATTCCGACATTCCATTGCCAGGCATGCCACCTTGGAGCCAGTTCAGCTCCATGCATTACCAGCTTACAGGTTTCACTGCCATTTTAGACATACCAGTATTTGGTATTTTTTTTCCGCTAAATACACAGTCACAGCAGCATAAAAGGAGAAGTACCTTTAAGAGGTCTGATATTTTATCTAATCTTAGCCTATAACACCATTGTCCGTTGAATTTGAAAATTCGGATGGGAATTTGAACACTTGAAATACACTTTGCATCAGTTTACAATGTCCAGATGGCAGGGGGGTGGGAATCTTAAAGAAAACTCATTAAAGAACTGCCATAATCTGCCTATTTTTTACTTTCTTGGGATACAGGCAACACTGACAGCACCATTTATTGCTTATCCCTAGATGTCCTGAGAAGTTGGTGATCTCTTTAAACTGCTGCAACCCATGTTATGATGTTGCTTCCACAATGATAAAAGGTGGGAGTTCTAGGATTCTGACGAAAAAGGAATGGCCATATACATGTCCATGTCCGGTTGGTGAGTGACTGCGACGGGAGTTTGGAGGTGATAGTGCTTTCATGACAATGTTGGTCTTGCACCTATCCCAGCACCTAGTACAAGAGGGAACCAGATTACACATTATCTGAACCATTATCTGAACCAGAAAGTTCAGTCAATTACGACTGAAGAGGGACGTTTTCTCTTCAGTACAAGATTGTTAACATGAAGCTTTGGATTCAGGTGACGAGGGTTCTAATGTACTATTACAAATGAGGATAAAAAATATTATGATGTTTAACTGTAAAATACTATAGTTTTAAAAGCTTAAGCTATAAATTAAAGCCATATATTTATAAGTGTACGACTCTGCATGGATGATATGCAACATAAAGGTTTGATCAAACTTTATCTTTCCATTTTCCATAATCAGGACTTTAGAGGGACCATTTCAGCTGTTAAAAAAAGATCGGAATATTAGCATAAGATTTCTCCTGGGTGTACTAAAATACAAATTACAGTACTTTGAATTTCTATTTTATAGGCACTTACCTGTGAGCGTAGAATGTGCTACTTAATAAGCACCGTCTACTTTCATTTTTCATATACTGGTGTTCTGATATAAGCCATTAATCGGATATAAAGGAGAAATGGTTCACCGTTCATGATTTTGTGCACTTTTCTCAGGTTCAGCATAGCAAATGATCCTCTGAGTGACATTGTGATACATATGGTGGAACGTGTGACATGAAGAGCCACTACGGTGAGATGAGGTCCTCAAGGAAACTGCTCCGAGTCAGGAATGTGCTTATTGTAATAGATCAATGTCTATAAACCAACAATAGAGCTACTTGAATGCTGGGAATAGCTTTATTTCTGTAATATTTGTGTTGTGGTTGTCATCAGCACTGTGGGTCAGTTCAAAAGTTACAGAAATGACTGTCC